AGCTCTGTAAGGCAGTCATGAGGGAGAGGTGATGGCAATTTGCCACCAGTTCCCAAAACCAGACTCTGGTTTCAGTCACATCACTGTGTCGACACTTTCCAAGGAAATTCAGGCTGCTTTTGGTGAAGTTACTCATAAGCCACTGGATGTTTCAGCACCAAAACAACGATGGCACAACATTTTGTATTCCTTACACGTAAAATATTCCCACAGACATCCAGAGGAGTTCTGCAGATAGAACACACGCAAAACCAAGTCTCAAGCAAGCATGCTTTGTAACCCCAAATACAGTCCGTTTAGAAATAGTTGGTGAAAAGTGGCCCAACTGCTCGAGGTTACGCTTTGATGGCGGTGGGTTTTTGCCTCCCAGTGCCTGTCCCAGCCTGCGGGCTGCAGGAGTGCGAGACCAGAACACCAGCAACTGAAAACCGCATCGCATCGCAAACGCATTTCGGCATTTAGGAAAGATGCGCTTCAGAACCCCTCTGCAAAACAATCCCAGCCACGAACAGGATCCAGGCTCCAGAAGGAGCCTGCTTTAAACTCCAGCAGTCAAAGCAGAGAGCGAACCGAGACGTGCTGCAGTATTTACGCAGCCATTATAATGCAAATACGGAAGGTATTAGAAAGGCCATTTGCATTGGTGCCCAGCCCTTCAGCGCAGCACAACGCCAACAGAAGAACAATTAGGATGCATGCCTAACACAAAGCCTCCGACCACGGGGGAGGCAGGTCCGGATACAGCATCTACGGCATCGCCGGGCTCCGTGGAAATGGTGCCTTCTGCAGCCCTTCGTCTTGCTCCTACACACAACCTGGTAATGCAGGAGGGCACGTGGAGGGTGAGCACGGGAAGGTAAGCAGGAGCACAGCTATCTGCGAGCATGCACACACACACACAGGCCATAGCTGCGTGCTCTCCTACACAATCATTTGTGTAACAATAAGGGAATCAGGCTCTCGTGTACATCCACTCAGACACAGACATCCTTTCAGAAGGAAGCCAAAAAGCAAACCGTTATGCTCAAGTCCCTCAAGTCCTCTTGGTTTATTTCACACGTCCACCTCAACAGCAAAGCAACACTAACAGAACCAAGTACAAACACGTGTCAGGTTGGTTTAAGAAGTTCTCTGGCTACTCACAGCAGCGTGTGCCTGCACCAACCGGCAGCCCCTCACCATACCACTATCAGCATGGCCACCATCAGCTCTGTCACAGTCCGTATTTCTCCTGTACAGCAACACAGACCCAGGGCTTCAGCTGCACAGAGCCTAAAACATGCCAACATCAACCACGTGCTACTGAACTATTTAAAAACAAATCAACACTGCACAATTACAAAGCATATCCATTACCTAGAGGTTAAGGATAGAAAAATTTGTAGTAATTAAAGTCCCCTTTTTACCAGGGGATCATTGTTTCACTGCACCCAAACTGCCTTTACTGAACAAAACTTTGTGTCAGGCAACACTCAGATTTAATAGCACATTATTTGCATTTCACAATACAGTCAAGCCCAAGCAATGCAGTAAAAACAAAAGCCAAGCAAATTAAGGTCAATGGCTAATACTGCAAACATTACCTTCTTGCTATACGTTTTATCTGGGTGGGTTTTGTAACATACCAGAACTACTGTATCAAGCAAACTAAAATATGTCAGCAGTGGGATTTTAGTGTAAACAAGGGCTCTTCTTATCTCCACAATCTAGCTACAACTGGCTGCTTAATCTTCACTGCTGTGTCCTCCCCAGCCCTCTCTCACACAAACAAACCCACCAGGAAAAAAAAAAAAAAGGCAGAAATATCTCTGCCAATATGCAGAGCTGCATTCAATACAAATAAACACAAGATATTACAGCAACAGAGGGGAGCACGAAGCAATTCCAATAAAAGAGTATCCAAAAAGCTCTGCCATAAATATATGTGTGTGTGTGCACAATAAAAAGGAAGGAATGAGCCTCAGAGCACTGTGAGTGGAAGGGAAAGCTGAGCAGTGGGGCTAGCCATGGGCTGGGGGCTGCCTAATCACCAGCCCTCACTGGTGGAACTTCAGCCCACCCGAAGCCCACTGGGGAGCTCACAGTGATCCTCGAGTGCTGGAGGCAGAGCTGGGCCCAGGAGCAGAGCACAGTGCCTGAGCTGAGGGCGAGCTGCAGGGCAGAGCGGGGCGAGGCAGCTCCTGTCCTCCATCCACACTGCAATATAGGAGTTTTCCTCTTCAGACATCACTGGAAGAAAAAAGTGGCTCGTGTTTAGCACCTACCCAAATTCCGTACAGCCATGCGATGGAAACGTGAAATCGTTTCGTTCAGTTTCATCTCCTTATCACCCAGCAAAATCCTCCCAAAAGGGAGTGCAGTTATTTGCACAGCTTCCTCAGCCTTGTCAAGCACAGATCACTCCGATCCCTCGCAGCAGAACAAACAGAGGATACTTTTACACAATTAACATGCACGAGCATTACATATGCATCCAAGCACATGCATCCACCTTTTTCACTGGCATTACACGGCACTGGGAGCAGCCGGCCACGGCGATAAGCAACGATCACCATGCAGAAACACACATTTCTAGAAAGCCACAGCCAAGAAACAATGAATCCAAGGCTTTCCTAAAAGGAACACACACAGGAATCTTCTGAGAAAATCATTTCTGTTTGCGAGCTAAGAGCACGTAAAGAGAAAACATCCATAGGCTGAAGGAATCCCCCGTGCCACGCACAATTCCTTGAGCAGAACGCACCGTCAGGGCGATCTCAGTGTCACACAACAAAGAACGTCCCCTCCTGCATCTCCCACCACAGACGTGGCACACGGGGAAGGAAAGCTCCCAGCTGACTCTGCCTGCATCGCCCCAGGATTGCTCTGTGTTTCCAGAAAGAGCAGAAGAGGGACACGGCAGAAGGCAGCATCCTCACTGGGGATGTGTTCCTCAAAGGCTGCGGGTACAAGGAGAGCTTTGTCTGGAAGCATCATGCTGTGCTACAAGGTTAGATAACAAATTAGTTCTGCCTGATGTACACGTTTTGCCTTGCCACACGTACACAAGTGCTGATGACCGGCAAATATTAGCCTAAAATTAAAAGGTATCCAGCCTCACCTTACGAAAATAGCCTTCCACTCTCCTTACCCAGAACAAAGAATAATCGCACAGGAAACCAAAATAGTCAAGCTCAAATCATTCAAAAGGAACTAAGAGGATAAGGGTGCTACTAAAAATGTATGCACAACAGCATATTAATAAATTCATAGGATACAGCAAATCTTCCCCAAAACCAGCCTAGGATTATATCGAGATCACCATACAACATATGTCTGAGATATGGCTGTAAATAAGTGTTACTTAATTTGAACACTTCCTACTTTAAGCCCTCAATTTTATAAATAGAAGCACCCAATAATGCTTAGTGATTTAAAAGAAAACAGTTCAGAAGGCAAAAAGGAAAACAATAAGTATAAAGTAAAACGTGAAAACAAGCAGACAGGAGAAAACTGAGAGCCTGATTCTAATTATTAAAGGCAACAGTCCAAAAACGAAGACTGAGTGCCGCAGCAATGACACCACACATAATCACAACTCCTTATCAGCAACGCTCTGCCTCAGAAGTGCCTTTGTGTACGCACATGTGCACGCTGCACAGCACGTAGAGATTCCACAGCCCCATCCCAAACACATCCATCAAAAATCACTACTGACACTCCAGCACTCGGTAACGGATTTGTCACACGCCGCGATTTTCGTTTCATTCCCACACCTACTGCTCCATCAGCAGCACTTCGCGGAACTTCAGTCCAGCGGATCTCCGCACCGCCGGGCGCTGACACGGCCCTTCGCCTTCCCCGGGGCTCCCGCAGTTCCGCGTCCGCTTCGCGCAGAACCGCCGGGCGAAAATGCGCTCCGAACGCCGCGAAAAGCCGTCGGCGCGCCCTCGGTGCCAGCCGTACGTGGTACGCTGTGCGCGCCGCCCGGCCAGACGGGAGGGCGAGGACTTCAGAGGGACGCCGGCCGGCTGGAGCCGCCACGAGCAACAGCCGAGCGCGTGAAGCACGAGGAGAACCCCGCGCCCGTCCTGGGGCGGCACCCGGCCCGACGCCCCGAGTTCCTCCCTGCCCGCAGCCCCCGGTACCGGGCGAGAGCAGAGGTGAGGCTGCGGAGCTCGGCTTCCTCCTTTCTTTCTTCTTTCTATGCCGCCTTTGGGGCGATGCCACCACTCGGCGGCACGGTGCGGCGGAGCACCCCCTGCCCAGCACCCCCAGGTTGCCCGCCCCCACCCCCGCCCGGCGCGGTACCCGCCGCCCAGCCCTCCCTCCCTGCCTTTGTGCCCGCGGCCTCCCGCCGCCAGGCCCGCCCCGCCCGCTGTCAGCCGCCACCGCCTCGGCGCAGCCCCGCGGCCCCGCCGCGAGAGCCCCGGCCCCGCCGCCCGCCTACCGTGCGGCTCCGCCATCCTCCTGCGGCTGGCTGGCTGGCTGGCTGGCTGGCTCGCTGGCTGGCTGGCTCGCTCACTCGGCCCCCCCCTCCCCGCCCGACCCGGCCGCCCCTGCCGGCCACCGTCTGTGCGCACCGAGCCGTCACGGGACTCCCCGCCCACGGCCCTCCCGCGGCACCGTGGAGGCGGGCCCGCCGAGGCACGGGGCGGCCATCTACTTCCGGGTCGCGACGCCGCCGCCATCTTGGCCGCGGGCGGAAGTGGCCCCGTCGCCCCTGGCGACGCTGAGGCGCTGGCGGCCGTCCGGGGCGCGGCCGGGCGGTGACTCCTTGAACCGCGCCCCGAGGCGGCCCGGTGCCTCACGGAGTGTTCCCGTTCCCGTTCCCGAGGAGGCTTCGCGTCCCGGGGAGCTCCGGCCGTGTTCTCCCTGCGGGACCAGAGCAGCGGAGTTCCCGCCGGCGCCGCGTCCGCACCACACGGGCCAGGCCCGCCCGGGCTCAGCAGGGCTGTGCACCCGGCTTACCTGCGGTCTGCCCGCTCCCCTCGGCTCGCTTCTCAGTTCAATATGCTTGCACGCTCTTTTATTAATAAATGCTGGGCAGTGTTAGAAGCAGGATTGGCTCTTCTGTATCATGGGGCACAGGGCCGAAAACAGGTGAAACGTAAAACTGAAAATCTGAAATGAAGCGTGGCAGGACAACGGTCAGCCAGCAGGGATCAGCCAGCAAATGTACACTGTTAGCTCCACCCTTCTGCTGCAATTCCTTAAATATGTACTATGGGATTAGACCGATACTACAGTAATGCTTGTGCCAACAATCAAAACTAACAGACATTTCTGCAAAGGCAGAGTTCGTACACGCAAGATTTGTTTTTAATCTGCACAAATTGAGTAGTTAATTTTATACCCACCCACTGGATGTCGGGTAGCTGAGCTCCGGCTCAATTTCAGCCCCTAGCAGGACATTTCTTCCCAAATCTTCACTGACACAGACCTGAGCCAGGAGAGAAGACGAGTAAGGGAGATCAGCATCCTAAGCAGGGTTTGTCCCTTAGCATTAGATCACACCAGCTGGCCCGTATTTTGAATCTCATAGTATTTACCTCTGAGTACCTCTCTGTAAGACAGCAAGTCAAAGGCTGCTCAGCCTCCATTTCTATAGGAAAACCTATAGAACTGGGAGAGGCTCTTGAATTACTGCCATTCATGCTGAAATGAACAGCAGGGCAAATATAATTAACAAGCATTTCATAACTGCATGTGTACACAGACTGAATTAAGGTTTCAGAGGCATTTCATTTGAGCATTGCCTAACTTTTAAATGCCTGACTTTGCAACCATAGTAATGTTCCTTTAAAACATGTAGCATTCCCCATGTTCCTAAAAGGACTGTTGTGGTGCAGATCACACAGCATCGCGACACTTCCCTGGGTCCCCAGCACTGCTGGTACCTCCTCATGTCTGACACAGACCTCTGCCCCCCCTGCTTCAAAAAGGAGCAGATGACAGCAGTGACTGTTATCCTGTATCTAGACCAGCAGTGGAGGGGGAGGAGTGCTGGAATTTGGATTATTCCGTGGATTCATAAGACCATTCCTAGTTGTCTCAAGCATGTTTCTACAAAGCACCATGATTTATTAGCTAGCTCTTACACAATGAACTAAAATACTGTAATTAATTTGTTAAGCTTGCTTAAGCTGACCACAAGATCAATCCAGCAACTTCAGAATCATCTTTGACTGAATTCAGATACCTCTGATATTATAGCCCCCACCTGCCTTTTCTTAATTTAGTGGCTGCCGGACTGATGAATTGACCTTTTCTCTCTTGTTCATGTGGCCTTTTCACTACTTCCTCCCAACTGTAATTTTATTTTTTATCTAACTACAAGCAAGCCCTCTGCTCCCCCAGCAGGCAGCTGCTGCCGCCTCATCCCAGGGCACTAAATTCTCGCTGTCTGGGGCAGACCAACAAGAGGCAAATTCTTTGCTGGCTGAGCCACAGTGAAGGCCAGCCTCGGGTAAGCCCTGCTTGGCTGCCAGCCTGGAGAGCAGAGATGGCCCAGCAGCACATCCCCCCATCCCGCAGCCTTTCCTGCTGCCCAGCCCGCAGCTCTCCCCAGTACTCCTCTCCTTTCCCCTCTGCCTATGCCCAGCTGACACCTTCAGATGTCCACCACCTGCCTCTCTTTTCTTAGCATCCAACAGTGCTTCCAGCTCCAGTTCCCTATGCCAACTCTTCATTCAGTCTCCTTTGTCCAGTTCTTCTTCTAACTTCCTATCCCCTGTGACTTTCTCTGCACTGACAAACAATTCTGCTGACTGCTGTCCCTCCCCTGCTACTGGTTCCTTGCACAGATGGTCTCAGCACAAAACTCCTCTAATTCCTGATTACGCTTTCTTTGTGAATCTCAGCCTCCCTCCATCTCATCTCAAACCTCCAAATTCTCAGTTTAAGGTTTTACCATTCTTTCATCTACACCTCACTCTGCCCTGACCTTCCCATCCTATCCTTTTCTTTTTCCTTTTCCTGAATTGTCAGTTTATGAGAAACTTGGCCTCAGTCTCTCAGCCAAGGGTTGCAGCGTGTTCATTTGTTCTGTGGGAAAGAAGAAAGCTTTGAAGGCTGATGGCACCACAATCACCTTTTCATTTTTGTGAGCATCATATCCATCATGAAAATAGCATAAGCCTTCATCATGGTTTTTCTGTCTTCACCTTAGATGTAATCCTGGCTGTACAGCCATGGTCACAGGTATACAGAAAGTGGGGAGGCTGGAAGAGCTGGCACAGCCTAAATGGGGAGAGAGGGAGAATATGAGGCACAGAAAACATACCTGGGGGAATGCACGTACACATCCAGAACCACTGGCAATTCCTAGGAACCAGCACTGGGACAGAATGGCCAACAAGATCCACCACACTGAAGAGAAAGACTGCCCACCAGAGCCAAAGCTTCTGTTGCAATACAAAAGACACAAAGAAGGGGAACCTGAAAATGTGGTTCTCTGCTGAGGGACTACAGTGCAGCAAGATGTTACTATTTTTTACCCTGTTCCTTCTCTGTGTTCAGTCAGGTCTGCTCAATTGAGAGACAAGGAATTCTTTCTACTTTTTCTTGCTGTTGGTTCTACAAAGCAAACACATAGGAAAAAAAGGATGGAGTTTGTTCCACATGCCTGTGTCCTCAAAACCAAGCTTCATGGTTTAGGGTTGCAAAACTTCCACGTAAAAACAGTTCTGGGCCTGCCAGCTTCAACTTTAAACTCATTAGCAGTTACGTATGTTTGTGAGTTTCAGACACACATTCTAGGCCCTACAGGAGGTGTTCCAAATGGATCAATCCTGAAGCATCCAGGATGTCATGCATGAGATTATTTTCTCTGATTTACTGGTAAAAGTGACAATTTTTTTCAAGTATGTGCTGTGTCCTAACTGCCCCAGGGCTGGCAGTTCTGCAGCTTATTTAGTGCAAGGGAAAACTGCAGATCCATCAGGCTACCAAGCAAGCTGATCTTCAGTTACACAATCGGAGAGCCAACCAGTTCAAACAATTTATCTTTCAAAGTTAACACTACAAATGAGAGAAACCAGCAAGAGCTTTTTCATTCATAATAGACAATACATTGTATTTTTTTTAGCATAGATTTTCTAGGTGGGATAGTATCAGCTGACAGAAACTTCTAATTTTCTCTACAGTAAAAGACAGGGCAAATTAAAGGCTTTGGTTTTCTGTACTTTGAAAAGGGAATAAGGCTGGAATGAAAACTCATTTAAACTGAAACAGATGCTGATTATTCCAGCCCAGTCAGGCTATCCAGAAAGAAACCAACATTTCCTGACTCATTTCATTTCTCTGGTACCTGCTAACCTATTCCAGGATAAGCCAAAAGGATGGAGCAGGATGCAAAAGGACACGCTGTACACTGGTAGACAAGCTTCTCTCAGCTTGGGTCTGCAGCACCTCAACCACAGTAAGCAATGTGCCTACCAGGGACAGCATAACTCTCAAAGCAAGGAGGAGGAGGAGTTTGGTACTCACAAAAGTGGCTTTAAAACTACAGAGGTTAAGTTTGCCTAAGTTTGACTCCATAGTCAAGATGATAAGAGTTTGTCAAGGCATTCTGGAACATATTCTGATGAAATCACTTTTCCCCTGACCTCCCCAGGGACCCTGGGGAATTGAGCTTTTCAAGGGAAAAGCCACTTCCTCCCAAGGAAAGTGCATTCAAGTCAAATGTGGCCATGGGTTCACCAGCTTCTTGCAGGCCACACATTGCGGTTGGATTTGGATGCTGTAGCAGCACTGCAGATCTACACGCCTGCAGGTGATACATGGCATCTCCTGCCATGCTACCTGCTCCACCTGACTCTCACATCAGACTTCTAAAGTTGGCTGGCACCAGTGCTGTGGTGCAGCAAGGCTTAGATTTCATTCACACTGCATGTCGTTTCTTGCCTTCAAAGGTCCAGGAACATTAGTACCAGGCTGACTGGTATGGCACAGTGTGCAGCCCAAGTTTTTCTTTGCTGAACTTCATAAAAGGCTGTATCCTGCCCCTGCACTGTGTACAAGAGGGAGCAGCCTTCCATCTCCCCTCGTCCTTTATGATCTTCCATTCCTCAATAGGCACAAGCATAGCCTATCCTGCAAAAAAGAGAGCCTGAAGCCAACCAATTCTGTAGTTTATCATTTCTAGTTGATAAAGCTGCAAAGCCAAAGGAAAGAAGCTAATGCAGAAGCCAAAAGGGGGAAAGGTCTCTGGGAGTGGTGGCCCCAAGAAGGCTGAACAGTTTTATTACATGTTTTTCTTAAGATTAATGGGTACAGTAATCTCAGGAAAAACAACTCGACTGTGTCCTAAAAGTTACTGGGAGTGGCAACACGTCCATGCTGAGCTGTATGAAAAGCCAGTTGCCCCATGCCCAGGCAAGCACCATCACCAACAGGTCAACCAAGGCCAGAAGCAGCAGCAGCTTTCCTTAGATGACATCCTGTCACTGTTGTGAGCCTGCTGCCTGAAAAGTGGAAGAAGATGGAGATGAGCAAAAACAGGACAGTCCCTATGAAACAACATTGACAACAAACCATCACCACCAAAACAACCCTCCATCCCCCCCCGAAAACTCACCAGTACCCACAACCTTCCTTCATGTTCTCTCAAACAAAAAAGATTTTCTTCAAAAGGCATTTGGGAATGGAAAACTGAGTTGGAATAAAATATGTGCCTGTTGGTTTTAATAGCTGCAGCTCTGCTATCTATTTTCTCTCCCTGTTTCAGACTGTCGGCAGGGACCGAGTGTTCTTCTGGAGCCAGGGATGGATTTCCTGAACGGTGACAAATAGCAGTAAAGCTTGAAGTCAATTCCACAGTGAAATCATTATATAAATTGCTCTTTCCAGCAGGAAAAAGATGGATGAAAAATAAAACAAATCAGAAAATAGTATGAAATGAATAATCTTACAGTTATGGGAAGCTGGAAAGTACAACCCCAAAAATGATGCTGGCTCAGTCAAGGAGCCGAACGCTATAAGGAGCACACCTGCAAATGAAAATCTCAGTTGATGATTTATGAAGAAATAAAATAGGATCCTGAAAGCTAGATCTGTTCAGATGTACAGTGATCTTCCAGGAGGACGTCATCAAACTCCTGCCAGGAGAGAGGCAAACTAGGCCAGAGTGAGTGCCAGCAACCCTAATATTTCGTGTTGGTGTAGGAGCACACAGCTCCTGATACTGATCTGGTGTGCTAGGTGCTGCACAAAGCGTTTTTCTGGCTCAGAGACTGAAAGCTGAACTGAAGACCAGAAAAACAATGTGCATTTGTCACTGACACAGGGAAGGGGAGAAAAGAAAAGCAGCCAACAAGCTGCCACGTCTTTTACAGGCCATACAGACAAGGGGAGCATTGGAGAGATCTCAGATTATTTTTTTCTACACATTAATATTTGGTTAGTTGCAAGGCTTGGTATAGAAGCATAGAGCTGTCTGAAACGGTGGTGGCACTCCCATGGGGATGTTGCAGGGTGAATCTTGGGACTGAACTGACATCTGGTACTGCCCTAAAACAGATCCATAGGGATGGGCTGAGGAAAGAAGGCTCCTGGAGCTGAATGCATTCAATGTGGAAGAAAACAGAGCTGGGAGACAGAAAAGGAAGAAGTGGCACAGACAAAGCGACAGACTGAGAACAGTCCTGCACTGTGAGGACAAGGGCTTGGTTATTCGAGTTTTCTTTCCCTTCCTTGTTTCTCAGGGCAGAGCCAAGTTTCAAAGGATAATAATACAATCATTTGACTGTGTTAAGAGCTTTATGGCCAGAGTTTACCATATGTTAAAATATTGATTCTATTTCTAACATACGCTTTTGACATGGACATTATTTTTTCTGTATAGAAGACTGACTTCTGCATACAAAAGCTGGCACTTCAAAGCAGGATCCAGTGATGCTGGATAAATACAAAGCGACGTGAGTGAAGCACAAGTCTCAGGCTTTTTCCACTCAATTAAATAAAGATAGCAGGAGAGACACTAAGCAGTGCGTGGCGGTGAGAAGCTGGAATAATTAAACAATGATATGACAGAAGGTGCGTTTACGGGCAATTACAGCATGTCTCTGCTGGCACTTCAAGGCACAAGGCCAAAGACTTAAGCGATTGAAACCACACAAGTGGAGCAGCAACCTCCTAGAAACGCCATTCTGGAGCACCTAGCCTGCGAGCCCAGAACGGGGCTCTTACACAGCCACAGGACAGCAGTCGGCCTCTGCTTTCCCTGGATGTTACTGCTAGGGATAGACCAGGGAGAGCAGCTGGTCAGAAAGCTGTCTGTGCACCCTGGGGAACGTATGGCCAGGCGCTCGTACTTGCATCCATAGCAGGGAGAGACAGAATCTTTGAGCTGAGGAAGGATGTCTCCTTCTTGTCTTGATGTGTACAGCTTGAGAACAGCACTGCAACAAACAACAACGAATTTAAAATGAGTATATTCAGCAGCCTGAACTAGAAGAAATCACTTATATGTTAACAGCATTCCAAAAACAAGCACAGGGTTAAACACCAGGCTACCAAGCTTAAGGCCTTGAAGGCATTTATGATTTCCTCAGGGAATCACAGAGGTTTTCTGCTCCTCCCAGGATGCCAACCCACCTCCTCCTGCTGCCCTGAGGACGGCTCTGCACCCCCCCTACTGCTCAGCAGCTTAAGGGAACAACTGCATGAAATCTGTGCATGCATTTCTGAAAGCATCTGTATGCATTATTCAACACACGTTATTCATGCTGGTACACCACATTTCTGACTTCATCAGCACATACAGAGGTGAAACAAGCTCTAAATGTTCAGAAGAGTAGAAGAGAGACCTCCCTGAAAAGCAAACAGAGATAGGTGTTGTTAAAAGCTTCTTAAACTGTCAACGAAGTATTTACTTAAATTACTTAAACTCAGAGCTGAAAACTGCTCTCAAGATGAGCAATTCTCTCAAAGTGTATTTTTTAAACACCCTTTGTCTGGGGTTGCATGGTTATATAGGACGTTCAACCAGATTTTCCTTTTTAAAGTAAGGTCTCAATCCAGACTTTCTTGTTGCACGAAAAGAAAAAAAAAGAAAGAAAAAAAAGAAGGAAAGCATAAACTTGAAAGGTTCAAAAAATCAGCATACAAATGAAAAGCATTTAATATGTATGAAGACAAAAACCAAGACTTGTAAACAAATGGGACTGGCTTCACCTGAACACTTTTTTCTTCTACTTAGAATGTTTCTCAGTACTTAAAATAAATGTTGTCTTATTTATGCAGTGGCATACGCAGCAAGCGACTGCCACATTATGAAACTCTCTGGATTCCAGCAATGCACATCTCTGCTGCCCGTCGCACTCAGAATATCTGGGTAGAGGAGGAGGAAGACAAGCTTATCATTTATACAATTACTGCTGGTTTTGTGGTCGTGAGGCTTTCTGCAGAGTACAAGAATAACTTGTTTGCAACACCAGTAAAAAAGGATGGAACCTAGAGTGCGTTGTCTCTGGATGTCTGCTCACCCAGTGTCAGACACCATCTGGCTTTGCCCCAAGGCACAGCACACAGTGAGGGCACAACTTCAGGCCTGGGTGCCCCCCGAGGTCACACACTGATCGTGCTGTCCCACTGCAAGCACATGTCTTGCTACCATAAGAAAAAGAGCATGTATTAGAGTACAACAACCCCCAGATGTAGGAAATGGAATAACCAACTTAAACCAATATAACTATGCTTTCCTTAGCAGAACAAAAATGGAGTCCTTCATATATAACTGGAATATCAGGTAATTGCAGCTAATATCACTCTAGTGGATGAACAGTAGTCTTTCTCAAAGCCAAAACCATCGCTGCTTTTCAGGCACCTTGAAAAGTATGACCCTGAGCACCCAGCAATGCCCGTGCCTTTCTCTCATGCAGTCTTTCCAATCCCGAAGATAAGAACTGCGTTTTCCTTAACGAAAGAACTTTCTTAAAAGCAGACTTACCAGAGACTGCTGAAAACAATCCTCATAATCACTCTGCCTCAGTGCTACCAGCTTTCCAGATGGGCTGCCAAGCTGGCATTTGACTAAGAAAATAGGTTTAGCACAAATCTGGATTCCTCTTCTCAAGCACTAAAATGCTTAAGTAGCACATCAAGTTGACCATTGTTTCTTATCACCAAGCAAACAAACTTCATTGGCAGGAAAACTGCGTTTACAAAGTGACTCCCTGCAGGACTGAGATGGGCTCTGGTTGCTACAGATGCCGATCCTCATGGTCATCCACAACGTCGAAAAACCTATCCCACAATTTGATTTCAACGTTTTGCTTTCAGTTCATTTTCTCTTTCTCTGCAGACCAAATTTATTACCACAGGAGTAACTGGTGGTTTCACAGCACACAATTTTCATTCACAACAGGCTGTCTTTTCCATTCATTTTTAACCAGAGTTAAGATGTTAGATGGATCAGTTAAAACAAACTACCAAGTCACTGATCTGCAAATTGTGATGTGCAAACGCCCTGGTCTGCAAACATTCATAGTCTTCATAAATCAGACCCCAGGCCCTCGTCCTTTCCCTTCCAATCAGTAGGAAATACCAATTGGCACACCAGCGAGCACACCAGAGAGACTGCTTTTCCCACTGAAATCAGTGAGAACACTTCTGTGCACTTCAAAGGGTACAGAAGGATGTCCAAAGCAAGCACATCCATTTTACAGTCTCACCAATGCCAATCTTTTGACCTGCAAGTGGAACGTATGAATCACAGCAGAATCGGGCCCGCTTCTGGGCTGTCTGAAACCAAACCAAAAGTGTTATCTTTGGCCGACTCCACAAAAGGCAGGAAGTTGGGGACCCATTTTCAGCCTCTGCAGGTTGCTCTGCTGGCCCCAAATGCAACGAACAGGCAAGACTTCAAGAGAAGTGAAAGCTGGCTACCTGAGGGACCGTCAGTTTCCTACTGTAGGTTGCCTTAGAGGAAAAAGGAAATAGTTCTGGAACAATGCAGACAGGCTTTAAATAACTGTTAGAGAGATGCTGCTTACTGGAAGTTAAAGGTTTATCCCAGGTCTTACCGTAGACCACAGAGTGCCTTAGGTTCCATAGCAGACAGCAGAGGGAAGCACATGGCCAGCACAGAAATTATCACAGAATTGTAAGAAGCTGGATTTGGAAGGGAGCTTTAAAGGCCATCGGGTCCATACGCTTGCCCTGAACAAGGACACCTACAGCTCCATCAGTGCTCAGAGACCCAACCAGCCTGACCCCGGCTGTCTGCAGGGACGCGACATGCGGCCTCTCCGGGCAACCTGTGCCACTGCCTCACCGCCCTTACTGTGAAGACTTTGTTACCTGCAGACCCTCGAGGAACCCACGGCCAACACAAACAGTGCGTGTGGGAACACAGGCAACTTCACTGGCGAGAGCCGGGGTACGGCAGCTCCGGAGGGCGGGCCGGGCCCGTCCCGAGGGCTGTGAGCCGAACCTATCCGCACCGCCCCGCGCTGCAGGCGGCTCCGCACACGGCTGCGCGCCGAGCTGCTGCAGAGCGGCAGGAGGGAGCTCGGAAATGCAAATCCGCGCTCTGCGGGGGGGATCCCGGCGCACCGGCCGGGCTGGTTTGGCTGCATTTATGCCCTCGACCTTCGAGGCTTTTACCGGCGTTTACCTTCTAACCAGCAGCGTGATTCACCCCACGAACCCCGAGGCGCTGCCCGGAGACGAACTCGGGAACGCGTCAGACCGGGCAGAGCCCACCCGTCGGTCGGTACCCGCTGGCTTTTTATGAAAAGCAGCGGTCCCCGCGCCTCACGGCCACGCCGGCTGTACGCACTCAGGCAGGCCGGCCGCAGCCGAGCCAGCGTGCGCCGACAGCAGCCGGCACGGCGCCGCGCTGCAGAACCAGCTGCTTCCCCCTCCCAGCGCCCACCGCGGAGGTGGGCGGCCGACGCCTTTCTCCTCCCCTCCAAGGACTACAACCCCCAGCATGCACTGCGTGCGGGCGCGGCGCACGCCGGGATTTGTGGCTTTCCGGGCAGCCCGGCGCATGCGCGCGCGGTCGGAAGCCGCTATGCCGGAGGGTAAGGGCGCGTTCCGGGAGGTGCTGCCCAAACAAGGTACGGCCGGCGGGCGGGACGCGGCCACGGGCACCGCCGCGAGGCGGCTGACGCGGTGCTCTGTCTCCTTCGCAGGGCAGCTGTCGGTGGAGGACACTGCCGGCATGGTGTTGTGCAAGCCGAAGGTGCTGCCCCTCAAATCGGTGTCACTGGAGAAGTTGGAGCAGTTGCAGCAGCTGCAGCGCGCGGCCATGGAGGCGTCGCGGCCGCCCGAAGGCACTGCGGGCCCCCAGCCGCAGCCTTAGGCGGGGTGCCAGGTACCGGCCGAGCGGCCCGGGGCCTCCTTTCGTCTCGTTCTTCCCGCACGGTTGCACTGCGAACGGACGCGCGCGGCCCGAGGAGGCGGCTTTCCTCCCGCAGAGCCGCAGCTGCGTCCCCGCCTGAGGCCGCGGTGCAGCACTGAGAGGGCACAGGGGCACTGCGATAAAAGGCTTGTTAATTCCGCACCGTACATTCGTACCGTTAGTTTAATTACTTCGGCCTTCAGCTGCTCCCAGGGAGCGGAGGGGCAGCTGAGCTCTGCTGCTCTGCAAGAGCAGCGACTGAGCCCCGGGGAACGGCACAGAGCTGCGGCCGAGCAGGGGTGGGTACAGAGAGGCGCTGCCCCAGGGCAGCGGGCACGGCCCGGCACGGCCCGGCACGGAGCTGCTCTTAGAAACACAGCTTGAACGTGGCGTCATCGCGTGTGGAGCCAGCAGTTGGACTCACACCTTGTGGGTCCCCTTCAGGACTGTCTGTCATTCTGTACTTAACACCTATTGTAATACAAATATTGGTGACAGAAGTGCTGCGCAGTGCACGTGCTTCAGAGTTTGGAACAGCCTAAATGCAAAAGGCAGGAAGGAGAGCTTCACAAAAAATATTTTTAATATGTTTTTACCAGAATTTTTCACTTTTCCAGTTACATAGAAAAAAGGACCGGTTTGGTACGTGCTGGCTGGAATACCTAAAACCGACCAGTGGAACAGGTGAACTTGTCCAATGACCCAGCTCTCTTTTCTTGGGCTCTTTAAGACAAAGAAACAGCTATTTTTCCTCCCAAAGCACAGTATTTCAGCAGCAGCAGCGAAGGGGATCACAGCGGCTTAACCTGACCCTTCTAGAAAGCTCTGTATAAATCAGGGATTGTACAATGAAAACACTGTCCTTGAAAGAAACAGCGGCAGTCAAACGTGGATGCAAACATGGAATGACAGGTCATAAACATGGCACTTACAAAAAGATAGCTTATCTGAAGGCACCACAACAGAGTGGCCAGTTGGTCTATTGGATGCCCGGAGAAAGAACTTTTCTTTCTGAAATTTATAAAACTATTTAAAAAAAATGATCTGTACCCAAAACATGTGCTCTTAAAAAAATATGAACTGTGCTAAGCAACTCTTAGAAATTTGGTATATAATATATGCATATACATACATACATGCACACGTGCCAAAAAGGCCTGTGTGTTTGTATATATATATATATATAGATACCTATCTTTTTTCCCTTTCAGCTTTTAAGTCTTCAGCAGTTGGTTCCAACATTCAGTAGCTTTCTAGCTTAAGCTGGCCTCCATCTCCTTCACTCACAAAACGCTTCCTGCCCCTGTAAAAAAAAGTAGAAAGTATATTTTCAGCAAGTGTACAGCAGCATCACTTCTTCTGCTCATCTGTCATTGTGAAGAATCTTCTCTTGGTCTTGGGAGCCAAATGTGAGGTGTATGAGATGAGCAGAAGGAGTCTTGATCACTAGCAAACTAAGGCACCTGAATGCTACATCTAAGGTTATTAGGCTGTTCAAATTTCTACTCTCCTAACCGTTTAACGTTGAACATTACCATTCACACTTCTAAAAGCTGCTAGCTTGAAAGCCTAAAAATGATATTTTTCTACCCCAAACTGAAATACAAGCTCAAAACACCTCAGTATATTGATGAGAGCTGCAGTATAATCCAGCTTTTGTCACAGCAACAACTTTCAGCCCTACCAAACCCACGTGCAAGTTGATACTGAGATACAGACAGACTGGAAAATACCTGACAGCATTTCTGATGCATGAAATCATGAATAGTTTTAGCATCAAATTTAAACTTTTACGAATTCCCCATAGGAAATGAAATTTACAGGTTGTATTCTGACTGAAAATACAGAACACTGATTAGCTACAGTAAAACAATAATAAAACAGAGAACACTACAATATACGTGCATCTCATGGTTGTCTTTTTTTTTTTTTAAATCAGGGATGTAGAGATTTTGCCACATAAATGCCTTGTTGCTTTTTGACAGAAACATTACGATTGGTGTCTAATCCTGGAACTCAGTTCAGTTTACAGTGTTTTAAACTGTTTTAAAACTTTTTTTTTTCCCCCCTTCAGGTTTGTCTGCACGGATCGTTAAAACTCCTGAATCTTCCAGCTCCACTGCGCTCATCTCTGCCAAGCAAATGAGCAAAACCGAGAGGAGAGGCAGGCCTTCATCTGCTGCAGCACATAAGCACGTTGCTGGGGATTCCAGCAGAGGCTCACTTCCCTCAGATACGTATCCACCCTGCTCTTTTTGTTCCTCCACCTTCCCTAGTCTCTGTACCAGCCTGTCACACCCAGGTTATAAGATCCTGCTTTCAAACTGAGCGCCAGCACCTCTTTGTAATAAAACAAGTACCTTGAAGGACAGACGTCTCTCAGTGGTTTGGAGATGATTCCAGCCTGAAAACATTCCTCTACAAACCGCTCAAGCACAGAATAGGAGTGTGGCACATCCAGGTTAATGTCTGGTATTTCACAGTAAACTCGTTCATAGCCCTGTAGTTTAAGGATGCAAATAATGATTTGGTTGTTCTGGAATTACAGTTTTCTAAACATCTTTTGGCACTCAGAAGAGGACTTCTTTTTAATGCAATTTCATGTATTCTTTAAGCAGTTTCAACAAACTGAAAGCAGAACACCTGCAAATTAGTGGCAAAGCAAGGTGTCATACCAGCCCGTTCCAAGAGCTGGTGTTACACAACAGCGTATCTATATGAATACACTAGCTGAGTATTTCAGCTTCTTAAAAAGACAAATCCAGACAGTACAGACTGCATACGATAGCCTAGCTGCTAGTAACACAAGGAAGAAGGATTAATTGCTCTGCCCTGTAGATAGAGTGAAGGCCACACATCTCAATGAGAGATGCAATAAATTACAAATAGCGTTTAAAAGAAAATAGAAGCTACTTGAAGATCTCGCCCAGCATTCTTTCAATGCCATACTTACTCTTTTCATTTGGTCCATAGTAATGACAGAAGACCTCGAGAGAGATTTCAGCAAATCCAGCATCATTTTAAAGGTCTTTTCTCCAGTTGACTCCAAAACCATCACAATTGCCTAAAACAAACCATGCAGAGGTTTTAACTAAAAATAAAATAGTGGTTCAAGTACATGCTGTGTAAGCATACCCACGTGCAAAGAAGAGTGAACATAACACTGTTTTCTGGGAGACAAGTCCAGTTGCTACAAGCAGTCCCAATTTGAAAGGAAAGCCAGATAGAAAGTTATTTGTGTAAAGATAGAAGGTATGAAAAAAGAGAAAGGACCAGACAGAGTGAAGAGCCCTGCCTACTGTGAGGGGTACGTGACTGCATCTGCATGGCTGCTGCAGCACTGATGGCAATTAATTTTGTATCTAGGATTTTAGAACAAGAACTCCTAAGTTCAAAATGTACCAGTCTCCACAAACCCCATCAACAACAGGTATCAGTTTTCTATCCTAGAATAAGGAGTCAATTTATTGAAAAGATGATTTTATAACTTTGAGTGTTTGGCTTTCTTGGTAAACAACCATTTCAGCTACTAGATACAGCAGAGTTCTTTCTCATATAGCGTGGTTCTGAATTATCTCAGCCTTCTACACATACTTAGATGGAACAGTTCCACACTGAAAAGGAAACTACAACTTAGCAAAGACAGGTAACACCTGTTAGTATACCCAGATGTCTGAAATCTGTTGTAATGTGTAATTAAAAGGAAATAAACTCCAATACAACCTGGGGCTTTTGCTGGTATTCCTCAGCAGAAAGTAAGCTAGGCTCTTATTTGTCAGATGTCTGCCTGAACCCAACAACCGAAATGTAATTCTGGGTCTTCCCAGAGGGACCAGCAGCTTGTTGCACAACACACAAGTGAGCATATAAACCATTAACTTTACATGAAATAATTTAGTTAAGTAACATCAAAACTTGCAACTGAGCTTCAAATTCCAGTTGCATGCATACCCACATCAAAACAAAACCCATTGGTGGTACTGGCAGTCATTAAAGTGACCCATTTCTCCTTACCTCATATACAAGTTCGTGGTGAAAATGGGGTACTTCCAGTTCCTGAAGGCAACGTTCAGCTTCCAGCAGGTCTCCAGAAAGCAAGTACTCTTTCAGCAGCATATCAATCTATTGCATTTTAAAACAAGCAAAACACCCATCACTAGTTAGGTACAAGATCTAAAAGCTGTCTCACCAACTCTTTTGGTGATCTGTGATCAACCTAGTAGCAAGCCAGCTCCTGAAACCTGCAGCTAGAGTTCTAGTAAATGTAATTAAGTTGAGGCATGAACAGCAACCTGAAATGCAGTGTAAGCCCAATACCTCTCTCTGGAGCATAATACAGATGTGCTAGCACTAAAAGCTTTGCTGCAAGTTTATCTGTCAGTTTATCTTAATGCCTGAACTCTCTATCATCTGCTGCACTCGCAGCACGAGCGATTACATCATGACTATTTTAAACCTTCCACCTACTTCATAGCATGAATCTCTTAAGTTTTCACAATCCTTCCAGCCTCTTTTACTTTCAAGTTATTGCTGTGCTTTTAGTCACTGGCGCCAAGAAATAAACTTCTTTTGTAATCCAACATTACTTCACCATTTTGTACTATAAACCCTAACAGTAAGTGCTTGAGGTTTAGCTTGAATCAAGAATAGCTGCACTTGCAATGCAGAATATGAACCAGTATGTTTCCACCACTGGTCACTACGGATAGCCACGTCTATCAGCAAAATGATCATCGATTTTCAAAACCTACTTTGTATGAAACAAACTGAAATAAGAACACTTGTTTAAAAATGACACCAAACATCATTTAGCTGCAGAATATGTGTATTTCTCTGCTCATCCCAAACTAGATAAGCTTAAAGAGTAAACTCTGGAGGGAAGAGACTTGTAGAAGTCAGCTACCTCTTTAACAAGGTGTTTCACAGACTGCTGGCCACCTCCTGAGCCCCACACGTTGTCTATGCGATTTCCACCCTTTGTCACACTCAGTAACACGGTAGCTCGGTCCAGTGCAGCTCTAGAAAGTAAAGGCAGTGTTTTAGGAAGTGAGGAAACTTCATTGAAAGACACCTGTAACATCCACAGCAACCCCCCACCTCATCTATCACTTCTCTTTCAGTCAAAGTGATCCTGACTGGGAAGAGGCCACACCACCTTTACACTCTTGGTTATACTGAACTCGGGACAGGGAAGAATCCTGCAAAGGCAGGAGGTCTGAATCATCAGTGCAGAACCTGAAGTGCTCTCAAAGGAAAGAATAGTTTCTTTTTGAGATGAATTGTAGCTGGACTGCTCCAAGAATGCAGCTTGGCAGGTACATCTCAAAACAGAAGTGACTTTCGTGCTGAAATAAATTTGCTATCTAAAAAATTGTGAAACTTTGGAGTTCAAGCCCAAACAGCACTTCAGAAGGCAAATACATAGTTGCAAAGAGATGAAAAAACTGAAGTAGGTGAGAGAAAGAAGAAATGGCAGATCCAGTTAAGCACTATCTGGCTAAAAAACGACCAGTTATCTCCCAGTGCTCATATTAGCGTTAGTGAAAAAACAGCTATTCACTGAGATTTAACACACAGCAAAGACTGACCAAAAAATTGTAGTGGCAGCAAAACATCCCAGATGTGCAATATGCAGGCTAAAATCCTTCATACCACAAGAGAAACTTGTGTAACAGACTATCAGTTTTCACAACTTTAACCCCCAAATTAGGCGGCTCAGCCCTGGCCTTCTTCCTAGAAGTATGCAGCTTTAATCAGAACAAATGGAACTTTTGTAAGTTTTAGGAGTTCAGCACCTCATTATCCAAGTCTGAAACACTTATGGGAGAAGAAACAATAAAAAAAAAAAAACATGGCTAATTATTACAATGTCTCTTCTCTCTGATGTTCCTTGAAACAGCCTGGAACTGAAAACATTTATTGATGAATAAAGTGCCACATTCTAGGAAAATATACTGCAAATATACAAACTTACAAAATATACAAATTTGAAACCTTTATGAAGCAAAACACTTCATCCCTTGTGTATTTCACAACAACTTTAAAGCAGCTGTGCTGACACTGTAACTCATTAGTCACATTAAAGCTTTTCCTAAAGACAAAACCTTTTATAACCACTTCTTGTTTCACCTCAGGCTCCCCATTCAAACTGAAGTGGGACAACAAACCCCACAAACTGACCTAAACATACCAGTGTGTTTTTAAGGCACTTCCAGCATTTCTTAGCTGACCTGAGCAAATCTGGGTTTTGTTGTTATTGCAGACTGCACGTTTTTGATTGCTTGAAATTAGAAATGAACTCTGAGAACCAAATGGTTTGTCCCCATGTCCCAAATTCCTGGTTTTCTTAGGCATTTGAAATCGAAAACCACAGCTATAGACCGCAAGAAACTTACCGAGCTTGGATGCAATCCACAGTGCCTTTGTAGCCATCTATGTAAGTACTGCTCAAAATCCCATCTCCAACAGCTCTAGCAATGAACTGGCCCACCAACTACAACAAAACAGAAGCACTTTTAAGTAAAAGTTGAATCAGAAAACAGTTTCAAGCAGACAAGTAAAATACGCTTGCTTTTCAGATTTTATTATTTTTTACCTCAGTGTAAAAGCATGGCCTGGGGAACTGGATACGGGGATTACAAACTGGAAGACTCTCCATAGCTATTTTTCAAAATACAGTCTTACTTCATTTCGCTTCGTTAATTTTAGGCACAATTTAAAAAGAAAAACTTTCGATGACCACCATAAAAATCTGTCAGAATACCTGTGGTGCCCTGGGAGAATCCAACACCAATTCAGGTAGATCTTTTAGCAGTCTGTCAAATGATTTTTCCACATCAGTTTTGCTTACTACTGTCCCACACAGGTCAGAGATAAGCTTAGATGTCATCTCCCTGTGACTGGCCTTCCCCTCTAGTGCCAAGGAAACAGCCAGCACTGGCACACTGTATTTCATTTCACCGAGGTTTAAATCCTTCAGCATCTCCTAAAATAAAATTTGTAAAAGACAACAGGTTAAGATCTCACCATGATAGAAATGTACGCTGTTAACAAATATTTCCACAATTACACGTATGCTTCTACCCATGTCATGAATTAACTGCTAAGGTATTCCTATGCACTTTTCTGGCAAACACTCATTTACAGCTAGCACTCGAGACTCGCTTGTGCACTGTAAGTTTGCCCCCTAAAATAAGTGTAAAGCACATGACGTACCGAAACCTCATTGGTATCTCCATGTTCAAAATATTCCTGTATGATCGGTGTTAAGGTTTTTTCAAATGCTCTTTCATCCAGAGGTAAAACTACTGTTTCATAGACACAATTCTCCTATTTCAAAAGGAAACAAAACAAAGATTTTTATGAAGTGCTAACAGCATCAAAACACAAACTATACCTCTAATGCTTTAGTCCTCATAGTCAGTGTTCCACCAGAAAGTATCAGATCATGTCCCTATGGTTGAAGTGTGGACAGTGCTGGCTAAATGTCATATTTCTTGTATTTGAATTTAGTGTTAACTGAATTCACTGTTAAATGACAGTAAATACTCCACACTCTGCTCCTAGCATTCTTCTGACACCACGTGAACACAGAATCAAGTACCCTGGTACTCAAGGGAGGGTGACAGAAACTCCTACCCCAGCCCCACAGAATTATCAGTTCCACAAGATTAAACTTTTAGCAACTCCCTGCAACTGACACTTCTGCCAGCAAGCCTGTCTGTCTGCCCCCTTCCTCAGGGGGTCTTCATGATCAGACAGGTGACAGCATGTACAGATCTGCCAGAAGAGAAAGCACCTCCAGAACATCTGTAAGCCAAGCTATTCCCTAAGAGGAAAACCTTATGCAGCAACTGGTCCTGAAGAGTTCTAGCACTGCCAGGACTCCTCAGTGTGATTCAGTTTCTCACAGACTACAGAATATTCAGAGCAATATTACAGATTGCTGCAGTTTCAAAGAAATATCCAACTGATGCTTATAGAAAAGAAATATTCTAGGACCAAGAATTACAGCAGAAATCCAAAAGCCTACTCTTCTATCATAACACTTTGTTTACAATCTTAGAAAAGCTAAGCAGGAGTTTAATGCAATTCTCAATTTTCATACAAACTTATTTTATGCAATCATCAACTTCATTTTCAATAGCTGTCTGCTAATCTGCAATGAATTGGTGGAAGAAGGGATTCTAAGATACCCACAGAGCATCATCTCAGCAGCTCTGCTACAACAAAAAGCTGCAGCTCAAAGAACACCACCATCACTCTGCTGTTGTTACAAGGGCTTTATTTATGGTCTCACAAATGCATCTGTCACAGAGACATCAATAATCTGTGCCTGTAATCTCAGAGATTTAATCTGATAAAAATTTACTGAGGAAATTGCTTTCTTTTTGTTGGTGTTTACACAGCTGTAAAGCAGAATCTTCCACAACATATCCTAAATAAATATATGTAAATAAACAGAAAATCCGGGTCTTCAACTTCATACCACTTTCGAGTGTTTGCACCAAGAAGATACAAGATATTGTATCCACAGTGTTGGAGATACAAAGAAGAAAGAAGCCCCTAGCAGATAACCTCATGAGCTAAACTCCCAACTGCAGTCTGTGTCGTACTTTAACACAGTGCCTGCTTGCAACTCCAAGCAGCACTGCAGCATTCACCTCCATGAAAACCAGCAAGAGAAGAACACACCTGGGAAAGGCACACTGCCTAGTCAGGCACAG